AAAAGGCTGACATGTTTGTCAATCTAAGCCCCATATTTCTAATCATTAATCCCCTTTACACCCAGATGTGTAAACCACCTTAGGTTTGATATGTTTCACTGTCTTTTAACCTTTATATTATTATTATTATTATATTTATCTTTTTATAATCCTTGATTATTAAAGATGTTAGAACTGAATGAACACTAAATGACTCCTGCTCACAAGCTGAAGAGGATCTTTGAAAACTCTAATTGTAAGCATGTTACCATGTTACCATAAGTTCAAGAACGTTTTTCTTTTTCTTTATTTCACTCAGGGAGGCTGCAGTCGTGTTTTAGTCAAGACCACATTTACAGAGACCAGGACATATCCAAGACCAGAGAGCTCCGAGACCGAGACAAGACCAAGTCCATAAATATCTCTGAAAAATCATCATCTTGTGTTTAGGGGGCGTGTCACTCACTTAGACCGTACACTGGTTTAAAACCAAGAGTCCGCCCAGTCTGAGAGCGATACAAGACCAAGTCAAAGTTCTTTTGATTCTAAGACAAGATAGAGACCTTCAAAAAACGGTCTTGAGACCGGTCTTAAGACCAAGACCGGTCTCGAGATCGCACTAATGGGTGTAAGCATGGATACTACAGCGGCATGCTCAAGAGGCTTTCCTGAACCTGTGTCGAGAGCTGGAGATAAATGAAACCTCCCAACAGCCAATCAGAGAGATTCCTCTCACCAACCACCGACACCGATTCAACATGTCGAATCGGCCAAAAAAGACAGAGGGGGGGTGAAGGGTAGCGACGGAGCCGGACACACCACAAAAACTAGGGCGACGACCACTCACCGACGGCCGACAGTCTCTTTGGTGTGTCAGGGTCTTAAGATCGCCCCCCATTCCCCCCCTTTAGTTTCTTGTGGTCCTAAAGGTCGAATGTGTCTGTCTCATTATCATCTTTGCTTTACCTTGATGTGCTAAATGTGTCTCTGCATGTTATCTTATTGTTCAACACTTTGGTCCACTCTGCTTGTTTTTAACGTGCTCTATACATACACTTCAGAATGTCAGATTAATGTGGAGAAGGTTAAATGATGTGGCTTTTCTTTCATCGTATTTGAAGAGCTTCAAGTCATCATATCTGCAGAAAGAAACATCAGGTTTCCTCTGCTCTCCTGCACACGCAGCAGCTAAAAATATCAGGGATGCTTTTCCCTCCTCAGAAGAAGAATCTGTTCGCAGCCTTTCACTCTTATTGAGCGTGAAAACAAACTTTAAACAGAGCAGAAAAATCACAAAGTTTCATCCTCCCCTCTTTCTTCCAGCGTTGGTTGTTTTCAAGTCAAAGCCACGGAGGTGCTTCCTGTCAGTCGCCTGAGATTCTCACACAAACTCGTCTCCTCCTTCAAATGCTCTGCAGAAATGATGAGAAACAAGAAAATGTCAACATGTCTAATGAGAGGCGGAGCGGCGGGCGCAACGAAGGAGAGAATTTCTGAGGGACGGAGATGGAGAGGGAGCAGACGGAGCGGGAGAAACTTTTGACTCAATACACTGAGGAGTCATATTTCTGTTAGAGGGATTAAACTGCACTGCCTGAAGGGTGAAGCTACAGCCGACACAGTTTAATAAAAACAAATAAGTACAAACCTGAAACATGCACATCAATATCTGCTTTGGGGGATTTTAAGGGGGGGAGTTCGACGGTAAACTTAAGAGCAAAGACAAGGGTGGGAAAAAAAGAATCCAGTAACATAAAAAAAGTATAAAAAATTTAAAAAAATAATGACTGTCTGTGTGAATTATAAAAAAGAAGCAGGGGGACAAGGACACAGCCCTGAGGAGTGCCGTGTCTGACATCATAACCTTTGACATGAGACCATTCACAAAAACCTGCTGAACTCCGTCTGTTAAAAAAAGTTTAAAAGCAACATTAAAGTCTGACCCGGCAACTTAAAATAAGAGGATAGTCTCTCGATTAAAATGTGAGCGACGACATTCGGCTGCTGTTTTGGGTTCTCTCTTTGCACTACTTTTTGAGAACTAGCATGATTTAGAAAGTAGCATTCCCTCAGTGCTCCATCTGCACCCAGCCCCTCCCCTCTGTGCTCCCTCAGAAGTCACGCCCCCTTACTTACTAAACGAGCGCCGTTGCTCCAGAAGTGGACCTCAGCTCATCTCTTACATTGTGTAGAAACTACGTTGTCTCATGTCTCATTCAGCAGTAAGTAAACTCACAGTATAAACTCCGTCATCAGTGACGCTCTTTGAGTGTGGGTTAGAGCAGGCAAGAGGGAGAGAGCAAGCAGGGAGACATGGAGGCGTCTGATTGGTTCATCAGATTGGTACCTTGTGGCAGACATTGAAGTTTTGCAGGCTTACAACTGCTACATATGACGGATTCGATTTGTTCCTTTTTCAGAGAACATGAGTTATTAATTTCTGTCAGGACCTAAAGACAAATTTTAACCAAAATCTTAAAAAGGGAATTAACAACCCTACCTGTAATTAATAAAGATATTGAAACTGTGGGGATAACTGGCTGGATATCAGCTTCATTACAAAGATGGAGTTTTCATTCCTTAGATTTGACGTCAAAATCATCAGCCTACACACGCACACACTCACACACAGACACACGGAGCATCCTCTTCCTCCTCCTCCTCCTCGATGTCTCCAGCTGTCCAATGTTCTCTTTCAGATGTTTTCAGGAGGGGGAGGGAGGAGCATCCTCGTCTCCCCCCCATTGATCCTCCCTCTCCCCTCTCCCTGTGTGTGTGTGTGTGTGTGTGTGTGTGTGTGTGTGTGTGTGTGTGTGTGTGTGTGTGTGTGTGTGTGTGTGTGTGTGTGTGTCTCTCTCTCTCTCTCTCTCTCTCTCTCTCTCTCTCTCTCCCCCCCCCCTCTCTCTCCCTCTCCCTCTCCCTCTCGGTGTTTTCTGCTGGTTCAGGAGGAACTCCGCTCAGTTTCTCGTCTCTGAGAGTCTCGGCTGCTGAGGATGGACGCTCGGATCTTCACCCTGCACGTCCTGACGCTCTGCTGCCTCATACACGGTAGGCTAAACACACACACACACTCACACTTCAGACTGTTTGCATGTCATTCATTTTGTTTTGTTAATCAGATTTTAATGCTGTATGTTTAAAAAGGAATATGATTACAGCATCATCACTTCAAATTAAGGGCAAAAAAACTCAAAACTAACCACCTTCAGGTCAAACTTTTCAAAGATTTCGTTTTTTAAAGCTTTAATACATCCAGAGGTCTCCTGATAAGACTGCCTCTCTCTCTCTGATGACGTGCAGGAGAACATCCAGGGAAAAGATATGAACACAAAGTAATCTCACTTTGAAGGAGAAGAAATAAGAAGTCAAAAGACTGAATGCTTCAGGACTTCTCACATTTTATTTCACCTTCATCTTCTCTGGAGTCCAGACGGCAGCGTAAAGTTCTGTACATAAATCAATAAATCAGTAATGTGTAGCAGTCAGACTTGCATGCACCAGATGAAAACACTTCATGAAAAGCTTGATGAAGTACTGCCAGAGCTTACATTTTGTCTCTGAAAAGCTTCGAGAGGTTTCTGAATGCGTCCGATATCCTGCAGGTTAATAACATGAACACCTGTGCAGTACTTCACCTCAAACCCTTCATCCTGGCACTCTGACCCAGCTCCTCCATGGACACCTACGCACTCACTGATATTGATGATGATATTTAGGATGCTGAACAGAACAGAAGCGGGCTGCACAGTGATAACAGTGGTTAGCTGCCTCACAGTGTGGAGGTTCCTGGTTCAAATCCTGGTCTGACAGGAGCCTCTCTGTGTGGAGTTTGCATGTTCTCCCCGTGCATATGTGGGTTCTCTCCGGGTCTAAATTGTCCGTAGGTGTGAATGTGAGTGTGTCTGGTTGTCCGTCTGTGATTGGCTGGTGAACAGTCCAGGGTGTAACCCCGCCTCTCTCCCAATGACAGCAGGGATCTGCTACAGCCCCCCCGGGACCCCGAACCGGAGAAGTGGTTTTAGATAATGGGTGGATGGATCGATCAGTAGCTCAGTCTGTAGGGCTTGGGTTGGGAACCGGAGGGTCGTCAATTAAATTCCCAGGGCAGAACAAGTCTTGAACTCGGTCTGCTAGTTGCTGGAGAGGCGCCGATTCTCTTCCTCTTGAGGTGCCCTTGAGCAAGGCATGAACCTAAACCCCGCCAACTCAGCAGCCTCTGTGCAGCCCTGTCTGTGAAATCTCACTTTAAACTGCAGGTGTATGGTCTACTGGTGTGGCTGAATGGTGTGGTAGTGTGTGTGTGTGTGTTCAGAGGATTATAACGTTAAACATCAGTTGAATCTGTCCTTATGTCTGTGCAGTCTCCCACGTGTTAAAAATCTGTTACGATTTGAGAATCGTTGAGTGTGAAACCAGCTTCAGATTCCCTCCTTTCAAAGGTCAAATAGTCATTTTTAAAGTTGAGTTTCTCTGCAGACAGACAAGATGAAATGTGTTTACCTGAAGCTGCTCCTGAACGCTGAGAGCTGCTTTTTATTTTGAGTCACAGCCTGAGGCTACGTCTGTGTGTGGACACACACACCTGCAGCCTGACCAGCTTTCCTTCAGATTAGTGTGTGTCTGTGTGTGTGTGTGTGTGTGTGTGTTCTTAAGGTGTTTCACTGTGTTTATATTTTCTCAGAATTAAAAATTAAATCTCTGACTTTAATATTTCCACGTTGAAGTTTGATGCTTACAGCTGTGTCGTTTTCTTTTCTGCAAAGACTACAACAAACACACACTTCACACATCGAGTTACTAAAGAGGATCTGTCTTTTTATTTCCCCCACAACAACTCCATTTTAACCCACCCCCCCCCATAAAAAGTAACCTGAGCCTCAAACAGTTCAACAGAGGCTAAACATGAAGGTTTAAGGATTCTTTAATTGCACCTTAAAAGTTTAATTTGTTGTGCAGACAGGAGAGCAATCGTTCCACGGATACATACCACACATTACGATAACAACTCAAGGATAAAAAGACTGCACAGAATCGACGATTACATCAGGTCATTACTGATCATCTTCAGATTGCAGTGCAGACTTCCTGTTAGTCTTACTCCCAAATTTCTGTGCTCCGTCTGACGGCGTGCGCAGATTCTCTTGTGCCCTACTGGAGTGTGAGTACAGCCATGAGCAACTGTACACACATCACAGGAGAATTACAAGATCACAGCAGAACTACAAGATCACATGAGAACTACAAGATCTCAGGAGAACTACAAGATCACAGCAGAACTACAAGATCACAGGAGAACTACAAGATCACAGGAGAACTACAAGATCACAGCAGAACTACAAGATCACAGGAGAACTACAAGATCACAGCAGAACTACAAGATCACAGGAGAACTACAAGATCACACGAGAACTACAAGATCACTCATTCTTGCACCTCTCTGTACAGTTAAGATGACATCATCAGAACCACACTAATAAGTGTCCTGTAAATCTTGTTTTTAAAGAAGAGATAACTTTAAGAATCAGTAACACACATGTGGACAGAGCGTCGTTTCAAGTGGAAACGATAAACCTTTCTGTTACCTGGAGCTGCTGTCAGTATTTCAAACAGCCTGACTGTGACCCTCACAGCACCGACTATAATAAAAAGTGTATCGTTAGTCTCACCCTCCTCCCTCTCGGTCGGTCAGGTTCTCACCCCCTCAATCATCCTGATGAGCTCTCAGCGTCTCTGCGGCTGATGAAACCGGCGTCCATAACACCTTTGAGGCCCTTAAATATCTGACTGTTAAACCGGGAGGGATGAAAGAAGACAATCGTGAGAGAAGTCAAACATCTTTGATCGTCACGTCTCAAACAGCAGATCCACGCCTCAGTTTGTGACTCGTCCGCTGACGAGAGAACAAGGTCTTCACTTCGAGGAGCCGTCTCCGCTCTGGCTGCTGCCGCCACACACATCCGTCCTGAGTTTTAGTGGTGTTTTATTTTTAAAATATTTTTGGCAGTTTCCTATTTTATTTTGTCGTCCCTTGAGTCTCTCCTTCCCTGGGCCTTTGTCAAACTGCTCTCACACCCTCTCCCTTTACAACTTATTGACAATTTACACATACTCTACGCCCTCTCCGGAGCATGCAAGAACATACAGCTGGGCTTGTCTCCCTAATCGTGGATTATGTTACAACCATAACAGCCCCTCCAATCCGACCTGTGGCTCCTTTCCCGCACTCTCTCTTGTTCCAACTCTCCAAAAACCCCAAAATGCATGTTAAAAAACCAGCACAGGTCTTTGTGAGTTCATTGTCTGCTTTGACATTCAAACTTCAACACAGGGATCTTTTTTCCTCCCTTTCCAATGTTAAGAGCAGTGCTGATGAAGGACACAGGCTGACTCTGCTTTCATGTACTTTATACTCATCCCTCCCACAGTCTGAAACCGTGCCGTCTGACACAGATCCCTACAAAGGGAACTGTATTGGACCGTCCCACACAGTGACACATGAAGTAAATGAACATAACGGCTCCCTCTCTCTTTTTGTTTCTCCTTCTTTCCACTGTTAGTGTTTGTAAGAAAACCAGACACAACCAGCTCCACACACACATCTGGTATGCACCGATTGTGAAAATCAAGGCCGATACAGATGTTTAAAATAAGAATTTAGTGGATTCCGATGTTTGATTCATGACTTCTTTTGGTGTCAGACTCCCATGATGCCAACATTTCTCTTCTGTTTGACGATGAAAACAAGTCAGAGTTTGTCCAACAGGTGACTTCCTCGGCTGCTGACCGATGTGTAGGTATAAAGAAGCAAACATGATCTGCACACCGAGGAGCTCCTGTTTAAAGGATTTATTAACACGCTCTTCCTCAGACTTGAAAGTGTATTTATGTGTGTGTACTAAGTGTGTACTAAGTGTGTAGTAAGTGTGTACTAAGTGTGCTGTGTGTGTTTCTACAGGCTCTCTGCAGGGCGTGTATCAGCGGCGCCTCTACAAGGAGCTGATGAAGAACTACAACCCGTTAGAGCGACCGGTCAGCAACGACTCCCACAGCCTGACGGTCAACTTCAGCTTCAGCCTGCTGCAGATCATGGACGTGGTACGGACACACACACACACACACACACACACACACACACACACACACACACACACACACACACACACACACTAGTCATCTCTCTGTAGGAATCCTTTCTGTGATGTTGTCAGACACAGGAGAACAACCGGAGCCTTTCAGGGACAAAAACAACAACTTTGAGTGGACTTGAATTTGCCTCAAATATTCCATTGATCTTGAGGCCACTTTTTGAAGGTCTCTGTCTTGGAATCGAAAGCATTTATTTTTACGCCCCCTAAACACAAGATGATGTTTTTATAAGTGATATTTTTGGTCTTGGTCTTTCTCGGACTCCCCCTGCCTTGGTCTAGGTCTTGACTCGGTCTGGATCCCTAAATGTCTTGGTTTTGACTCGGTCTGGATCCCTAAATGTCTTGGTCTTGACTCAGTCTGGATCCCTAAATGTCTTGGTCTTGACTCAGTCTGGATCCCTAAATGTCTTGTTCTTGTCTTGGTCTCGGTTGGTTTGGTCTTGACTAAAACACTGCTGCAGCCTGAAACAATCTACTAAAGGGATTTCAGAACGATTGCACCTTTGAATCATTTAGACCGAATCATATGAGACAATTTGTGTCCCATGTTTATCTGAAAGAATCTTGTTTAAACAGCGTCAGTAACCCGCTGCTGACACTGATCTCCAGCATCCGAGATGAACCCTTAGATATGCTCTTAATTTGTGTCTATGCGCACACTTTTTACAGTGTAGTAAATATGAAGAAAAACAACAAACTGAGAGAGGATCAATACTCTAATCAGACCCTCAGGATCAACACTTATTACTGACTGATAAACAGGCACACACACACACACACACACACACACACACACACACACACACACACACACACACACACACACATTTAAAGAAACTAAATGAACACAAGTCATTCATTCATAACCCACGCACATCAAACATCCATTTTCACAAACAGTCTGGCGCAAGCAGGAGGCTGACAGCAGGAGACGACTTTCATCTCTAATATCACAGCATGCTCAAGCACACACACACACACACACACACACACATACACACACACATACCTAAACAGGCACACATTATCAGAGTCGTCATGGCTGCAGCACTTTCTTGAGTTTCTTGTTTGGTTGTCGAACACAAAGCTGCACTCAGGTCTCAGCAGGGCACTGGCTCTCTGCAGGAGAGCTACACACAAACACAACACACACAAGTACACACAAGCACACACACACACACACACACACACACACACACACACACACACACACACACACACACACACACACACACACACACACACACGCATGCACACTGATGGAGCCGGCTGGTGGTTGTAGAGATCCTGGCTGTAACAGAAGTTGATGTGAACAGCTGGATATCTCACCTGTTAGACTTCATGAAGCGTGGACTGCATTAAATCTGTGGCCTCGAAGAAAAGGTCAGATTCTGAGAGGTGACATTGAACCCCTCGTTGAGTTCATAAGGAGGCACTTTACCCACTTTACCCAGTATTTGTGACTGCTTCTCTGCTAAAGGAAAACGTCTTCACATCCACGTTTTCTCCTGATATGGAGCTTGCTCTGTGTGTTCATGTTTTTGGATTTTATCAGGACTTTAAATTCCTCAAACTGCTCTTCAGTGAGTACCTAGAAACTGAAACTGAGCACCAATATACAAAGTAATCAAAGCTCTCTTTGAACATCTAGTGTCCTCGTACAGAAGATACAAACACACTGATTAGTTGGAGGAATAATTAAAAATTCTCTGCTGAGCACAATATGAACATAATATATTTTGTGTGGGTTCAATGGAGTTTGGTCGATAAGCAGCGAGTCAGCATGAGCTGTGCTGAGTGCTGAGAGTTCAGCTTTGACAAACTTTACTTTATGTGAATATATAGAGAGAACAGCGGATACAGATACACATATATACAGAGCAATATATGTCACTCTGCTGGCTCCCAGTTATTGGGTGTCTGATCCAACCTTCACAACAGGGTCCTAAGTCGTTAACTGGACTCTTCTTCTCTGTCGCCCCCCCCGATAGTGGAACAAACTAAAGACCCAGCTCTTTATGAAAACCTACCACCCTAATGATGATGTTTTTGATGCTGATTGATGCACATGAAAAATGTGTGCTCAAACAGGCCGTTTGGAGATTTTCCCTTCATGACATCACAAAGGGCAGTAACCCCTCCCCCAGGTGGGTGACACTCCCACAGCTAGGTGTTTGTTCTGCCCTCTGAGTCTGCCTTCTCACCATAAACAATAGGACATGGAGCGAGAAAGCCCGAGACACCCAAACCCTTCCAGAGAGGGGGCGTGGTCAAACACAGCTCATTTACATTTAAAGGTACAGACACAGAAACAGCCTGTTCTGAGCAGGGCTGAAATAGAGGGGTTTATAGGCATGATCAAATACAGGATCAGAGTGGATTTAGAACAAGAAACTTCACACATATGTTTTGAGGAGCTCTGAGACTTATTTACACTGGTTGAAGAGAAGGAGACCTTTAAATATGTATCAAAAAGACTCTCTGGGCTTTATCCATTTTGTGTTTGACGTCTTCGTCGCAGCTTTAAAATCCTCTTTCTTGTTATTCATGACTTATTAATGTCAGATAATGACACAGATTCATATTCAACACAGAAGCAGATTTCATCTCTCGGCTGCTTCAGAAGTGGGAGCTCAGATTTGTGTTGTCAGTGTTTTATTTTCTAATCTCTGATGAGTTATACATCCAGGACTTTCCCTTGTACAGTTTATTTAAAGCAGTCAGACTTATGTAAGTATCGGGCTGCAGGCTGTGCTGAAGGAAACATATGAATCGTGTGGAAAAGCTTGATCTCAGGGGAGTTTTCCTCCAGACTTAATTTAACGCTAAAACCTAAATGAGTTCCTACATATCCAAACATCAGGACGGAGCAGAGACGTCCCAGCAGCACGATATTATATAACCACGGGGAGGTTTTATTTTACAGCAGGATGTATGTTGAAGCTGCAGATCAAAGGGGTCTTCATGTAGATTAAAGACTGGGCCCTGTTTTTGCGCTCTAAATGATTATTAGGTAAAGTTGAATCACTGCTCCAGTAGAGAGAAAAGTGAAGCGTAGAAATGTAAAAAGCTGGGGGCGCTGGTTCATTTGAAGATACATGTAAGATGTCTACTTCAGGCACACATATCAGTAATCTGCTTCATCCAAGACCTAAACCACCACGAGCACCCGGGACTGTTCGTTTAAATAGAGATCACCGCGGGGGTCGTCCTGGTCTCTGTCACAGCGGCCTGTCAGGAGGCTGCTTGGCTTTGTTGCCTCTGGGTTCTTTAGTCCAGATGATGAGTCTGTCTTTGGTCCTGCAGGCGGGTCCAGTCTAGTCTGGCTAGATCCGGCCTGTTTTTTCTGGTCTGTTCTGGTCTGACCTGGTCTGGTCTGGTTAGGTTCGTTCCAGTTCGGTTTAGTTTGGTCTAGTCTGGTCCAATCCGATCCAGTCCGGCCCGGTCCGGTCTATTTTCTGTTCTGATTCAAACTGGTCTGGCCTTGTCTATTCTGATCTTTCCTGATCCGGTCTGGTCCGGTCTGGTCTGGCTCATTTCAGTCCACTGGTCTGGTCTGGCTTGCTCTGGACCTGTTTGGTCTGGTCCGGTCCGATCTGTTTTTTCTGGTCTGGTTTGGTCTGGTCTGTCTGGTCTGCTCTGCTTTGGTCTGGTCTGATCCGGTCTTGTCTAGTTGGTCTAGTCTGTTTTCTGGTCTGGTCTGGTCAGGCCCGGTCTAGGTTCAGTCTGGTCTGGTCTAGGTTCGGTCTGGTCTGGTCCGGTCTAGTTGGTTCAGTCTGTTTTCTGGTCTGGTCTGGTCTAAGTCTGGTTTGATGAGGCGAGCGTACTAAGCCGCCCCTGCCTTGTTGTCTCTGTTAATCAGACATGTTTGTTTGTGAGGACGAGTTAGATTATTAGACCTCATCCTGAAGGGAGGCGGCTTCTACAAACCTCCATCCTTTAATTCTCTCCGTACGCTCAGCTACCTGAAAGCCTGTCAGTGTGCCAGGCATTCATCAAAGTGACGTTACTAATATCCCCCACCTCCACCCCTCTCCCTGCTGGAACGCTTCCATGTTTGAAATTAATTAAAAGGGGCAAAGGAAACAGTGGAGAGCGGACTGACTGTAAAACAGGACTACAGAGACTCAGAACCAGGACTACAGAGACTCAGAGGACCTTCAGTTCATCCGACTCTTTCTGTTTCTGTTTTCAGGACGAGAAGAATCAGGTGCTGACCACCAACATCTGGCTGCAGCTGGTGAGTTCTCTGAGCTGACATTAGAATTCTTTGTTTTCTTTTGTTGTGACCTGATTTCAGTTTCACTCCACCATGAAACCTCCTCAAACATCCGGGATGCTGCAGGTATTTTCACTGTTTTTCTTGATAATGTTCTGATGTTTTATTTCTTATCTCTCCTGAATATTATATCAAGTTTTAAAAATCACTAAAAAGAGCTCTTTGGTGTTTTTAAAATCCTTTAATAACTTTGTATGATTCAGTGTTGTAGCCAAGACCACACTAAGCGAGACCAAGACATACCCAAGACCAGAGTGCAAGACCAAGATATGTAGGGATCCAGACCGGATTAGAAGGAAAACGCCTCTTCCTGGTCTTGGTCTCGCCCTGCCTTGGTCTTGCGCTTGACTCGACTCCAAATGCTTTGATTCCGAGACGAGACCGAGACCAGTTTTGAGTACTACAACACAATCTGATTGGGGATGTACACTTTCTCCAAAGTATCACGTGCAGTTTTTAAAGCTGACTACAGTGAACAATCTTCTGCAGCTCCTCTAAATCATATTGTACTTATTGAGTCTAAAAACAGCCTCGCTCTGCTGCCAGCTGGCCCTCCTGGATCAGGATTAGAGCTCCATTACAGAACATTAAACCTGTGTCACTTCCAGCCGTTACAGATGAGTCTATCTGTGCCGCTCAGGCCGCCGGGGACGATGTGTAAACTGACTCTGCAGTAACTCAGTAAACATTGATAATGAATGGAAGCCTGCAGCCACATCTTCCCCTCCTTCCTTCAGTTCGACTTCCAGAGAGACTCCAGAGGAAACGCACAACTCCAGCTCTGACCCAGATAAGTTTCTGTGTGATGGAGGAAAACTCGCTCCGAGTGCCAACTTCTGTTCCTGCATCCATGAACACTCCATCCTCTGCTGCTCGCTCTGACACACCTTACACCTCCTGCACTCTTACACCTTTCTCTTATCTCCTCCTCCTGCTCCTCCTTTGTTCACTCGAACCTCGCCTCGGTCTGTAAAAAGCTGCTGCTCTTCTTTTCTGGCGAGCAGGGCTGACTCTGGTGTCAATGTCAGAGCCAACGGAGAACACAGGACTTCATTACGACGGCTCTCCCTAAACCCATTTCACGCAGCAGTCAAGATTTAATTAGTTTCCACATCAGGTCCTGTGGAGTCTGTGTTTGTGAAGTGGTGATGCACTAATCCGGCCTAATCTGCTCCTCTCACATGGAAAGGTTGGTTCCTCCCCGGAGACTCAGCTTTTCCTCTCTGCAGCCCCCTCCCAGGACCGACGAGTCTTTTAGCCTAATTTAATTTGGTTTTTACTTCACCACATCCTGCTCTTCCTCCTCCTCCTCTCCTCCTCCTTTTCCTCCTCTCACCTCCTCTCCTCCTCCTTTTCCTCCTTCCTCCTTCCTCCTCTTCCTCCTCCTCCTCCTCCTCCTCCTGCTCTCCTCTTCCTCCTCTTTTTCCTCCTCTCACCTCCTCTCCTCCTCCTTTTCCTCCTGTCCTCCTCCTCTTCCTCCTCTCCTCCTCTCCTCCTCTCCTCCTCTTCCCCCTCCTCTCCTCCTCTCCTCCTCCTCTTCCTCCTCCTCCTCCTCTCCCCCTCATCTCCTCCTCTTCCTCCTCTTCCTCATCCTCCTATCCTCTTCCTCCTCCCCTCCTCCTCCTCTTCCTCCTCCTCCTCTTCCTCTCCTCCTTCTCTTCTCCTCTCCTCCTCCTCTCCTCCTCTTCCTCCTCTCCTCCTCTTCCCCTCCTCTCCTCCTTTACCTCCTCCTCCTCCTGCTCTCCTCTCCTCCTCCTTTTCCTCCTCTCCTCCTCTCTTCTCCTCTTCCTCCTCTCCTCCTCTCCTCCTCTCCTCCTCTTCCCCTTCCTCTCCTCCTCTTCCTCCTCCTCCTCCTGCCCTCTCCTCCTCCTCCTCTTCCTTCTCCTCCTATCCTCTTCCTCCTCCCTCCTCCTCCTCCTCTCTTCCTCCTCCTCTTCCTCTCCTCCTTCTCTTCCTCCTCTCCTCCTCCTCCTCCTCTCCTCCTACTCCTCTTTTCCGCCTCCTCCTCTTCCTCCTCCTCTCTCCTCCTCCTCCTCTTCCTCTTCTCCTCCTGCTGTAGTGTGTTCTTTTCCATCTGTAAAGGAGGTGAATGTGTGTGAGCCAAAGGAAACGTTTCTGATCCAGGATCTGTGTGTGTTTTTTTGAATGTCAGAGTGTTTGTTCAGCTTTTGGAAATGTTCTTGGCATTCAAGAACTCTTTGACTCTCTCAGGGATTTAAAGAAACAAAGAGAAGAACAAAGAATCAGAATACAGGTGCGAACAAAGAAATGTTTGAATTGATATCATTACATTTAAAGGAGGTAGATATTTGAAGGGAGGTTCTGTGAGGTTCTTGTGGATCTTCCACAGGAGATGCCGTCAGCTCGGCCCTTATATCGAGAAACTGGTCACAGAACCGTAACTGAAGCGAGACTACACACCACTGCAGACTTGTACCGAGTAATTTAACAAATCTTAAAGGTCTCATATCAATCTGAGGCGGGTTTTAAGCCTCCTGACAAACTGTTACATGGCGCCCGCGTGTCAATTAGGTCAGCTACACACCTTATTGTGAATAACTCTTGTCCTTCATCAAATCAAAACTGATGAGTCATCAAAAATTCACCCCCCGTACAGTGTGTGTCGATCGAGACATGAGCTAATCAGACCTATTTGTTTTTTCAACCAGGCTGTAAACATGTTAATCTCTGCTGTAAAAACAGCTTTTTAGAATGGTGTGTATGTGACTTCCTCTGCTTCTTCAGCCAGCCTCTAGTGGACACTCAAGGAACTGCAGGATTTTACACTTCAGCATCGGCTTCATTTTTTAATACCAGAGGTTGTCGCTTGATTCCAACCATAAACAAGATGATCTGAAAAAGCTGCAGAGTCTAGAAGATTCAAATAAATAAATGAAACACAAACACAGAGACGCCAAGCCCTTACACTCAGAGAAAAACCTTATTGACAAACTTTTGAGTGTCTTGATTTGAGTCAACAACACTTCAGTTTGTCCACCTTCCATACAAAAGCAGCACATGTTCAAATGTTTGCAAGGGGAACCTCAGATTCACAGAGATGTAAACATGTAACGTCTGCTTTGTGGACAGCGAGCTCACGGCCTGTTAGGAGACGGTGTTAACAATCACTTAAAAATAAACCTTCAAAGTGCTGCTGGTCACCCTGACAGTCCCATATCTGGTCTGAAAGTCGGACATGTTTAATCCTGTTAAGAAGCA